GTTTAACCTGTGCGTGATTACAGGCTGTAGTTGTACCTGCAGGCAATTCATCTTTACACCAAATCTAGGTTCTGGATAAAACTTGAATAAATATGTTATTTATTACGAGTTTAACTTCTTACGAATTATGTTTATTGTTTTATCGGTTTTATTGGCAATTGGGCCACTGCTGTAAGCCGCCCTGAGCCTGTTTGCGGGGAGGGCGGGGTATAAATTGAATTAATAAAATAAAATAAATATGCACTCAAACATCCACATAAGCAACTTTGTGCGTGTGTGAAGAACACCCTGTGTGCAAAATCTGTCTGGCGTGGACTGGAGGACAACGGCATTAGGCACGCAAGCACAACTTCTTGGTAAGTTGTCACAGCAAGTTATCAAGAATTGTGCATGTTTGTGTGTTCTCTGGCTCTTCCTCTCACCCACACCTACTGGCCGGCTTCCAGGCAAAAACCTGCTAGAAACTAGACACAGAGAGAAACACAAGCCAATTATGTACAAACAGCTGTCACTTCCTCGCTGCCCCCATTTTACAACTCGTGTTTGTGCTTTTGGTGGCTGCTAGATAGAACCGGGTCTGCCGCATGACGGAGTGAGCTCCCGTCTCTAGTTCCAGCTCCTGCCAACCTAGCAGTTTGAAAGCCAGAAATTGCAAGTAGATAAATAGGGACCACTTTGGTGGGAAGGGAACAGCGTTCCGTGCGCCTTGGCCACATGACCAGGGAAACGTCTTCGGACAGCGCTGGCTCTTCGGCTTTGAAACGGAGATGAGCACCACAACCCTAGAGTCGGATTCGACTGGCTTTCGAGCAAGGGAACATTTACCTTTACCTAGAGAGAAGGCAGCTCTCGGTTGTGTCCCCTGAAATACAGAAGATACTGAGCAGTGGGGTGGAAGTGTGGTCCTGCCCTTTTGAAGAGAGAACCCGTGTGATGTAGTGGTTAAGAGTGGGAGACTCGAATCTGGAGAACCGGGTTTAATTCCTCACTTCTCCTCCACGAGAAGCCTGCTGGGTAACCTTGGGCCAGTCACAGTTCTCTCAGAGCTCTCTCAGCCCCCTCCCGCCTGTTGTGGTGAGAGGAAGGGAAGGTGATTGTAAACCACTACAACCCTAGAGCCAGTGTGGTGCAGTGGTTAAGGATGGAGACCTCTAATCTGGAGAACCGGGTTCAATCCCCCAGTCCTCCTCCACACAAAGCCTGCTGGGTGATCTTGGGGAAGCAACAGTTCCCTCAGAGCTGTTCTCTCAACAGCAGTTCTCTCAAAACTCTCTCAGCCCCACCTACCTCACAAGAGGCCTGTTGTGAGGGGAGGAAGGGAAGGTGATTGTAAGCCACTACAACCCTAGAGCCAGTGTGGTGTAGTGGTTAAGGGCGGAAACCTCTAATCTGGAGAACTGAGTTTGATTCCCCGCTCCTCCTCCATGTGAAGCCTGCTGGGTGACCTTGGGCCAGTCACACAGTCCTCTCAGAACTCTCTCAGCCCCACCTGCCTCACAGGGTGCCTGTTGTGGGGAGAGGAAGGCAAGGCGATTGTAAGCCACGACAACCCTAGAGCCAGTGTGGTGTAGTGATTAAGAGCGGCGGCCTCTGATCTAGAGGACCGGGTTTGATTCCCCACTTCTCTTCCACCTGAGGCCTCCTGGGTGACCATGGGCCAGTCATACAGTTCTCTCAGAACTCTCTCAGCCCCACTTACCTCACAAGTTGCCTGTTGTGGGGAGAGGAAGGGAAGGCAATTATAAGCTGCTTTAAGATGCCTTAAGATAGAGGAAGGTAAAGGTAAAGGTTCCCTTGCTCGAAAGCCAGTCAAATCCAACTCTAGGGTTGCGGTGCTCATCTCCGTTTCCAAGCCGAAGAGCCAGCGCTGTCCGAAGACGTTTCCGTGGTCATGTGGCCGGCATGACTAAACACCAAGGTGCACGGAACACTGTTCCTTTCCCACCAAAGTGGGACCTATTTATCTACTTACAATTTCTTGCTTTCGAACTGCTAGGCTGGCAGGAACTGGAACTAGAGATGGGAGCTCACTCCGTCATGCGGCACACCTGGGTCTCGAACTGCTGAACTACCGACCTTCCACAGCCTGCAGTTCAGCGTCTTAACCACTTGAGCCACCGCAGCTCCAAAGATAGAGGAAAGCAGGGTATAATAACCAACTATTTGTCTCGTTCTTTGTTCATAAAAGGTTGTCTGCTGCCCTGCTCATACCTTGGAGACTTTCTCAGGAGGATGGAAGCACGACCCCTCCCCGGCTTGGTGAGGGCGCCCACGCTTCCTTCTCCCCTCACTGGCCTGTAGCCAAGGCCTGAGACTACATCACCTATCCCCGTTATTGTCCTGGGTATGAACAGGAGAGTGACCCTGAGGTGGTTTCCATCTGAGGGGGAAAGCGCTCCAAAACCCTCTTTGGCGGCAGCCGCCATCAGACCGCCTTCCTGTCCCTCAGTTGCCGTGCTCTGAAGCTCCTCGCTCTCTGAACGGTGCACAACAAGATCCCCTCCTTTCTTCTCAGCAGCTGGAGGGGGGGGGAACGCAGCTGCCTTGAGCCGAACCGCCACTTTGCAGGACACGTTTACGCAATGAATATTTGACAAGGGGCTCGGGCAGCGCTTGTTAAAAGGCCGTCTGCCATCAATTATTTAGCAGATCAGGAAAGGATCAAAACGGTTCCCTTTTTGGGGGGGGATTCAGCCAAATGGGGTCACTCCCAAGGAGAGGAGCAGGGGCCAAGCCTGGAATTCCTGGAGGCCCCGATCTTCAGTGGTAAGCTTTGGTGGAAGACTGCTGAGCTGTAATATCCACCTATGGCCACTGGAGGCCAGTATTTCATCAACTCCTTATTAGCCTTTTTGTTGTTCAGTCGCACAGTCGACTCTTCGCGACCCCATGGACCAGCTCCCGCCAGGCCCTCCTGTCTTCTGCCGTCAACTTCATGTTCGTTGCATCGATGACACTGTCTAACCATCTCATCCTTTGCCGTCCCCGTCTTCTTTGACCTTCAATCTTTCCCAGCCTCAGGGTCTTCTCCAGGGAGTGCTCCCTTCTCATTTGGTGGCCAAAGTATTTGAGCTTCATTTTCATTATCTGGCCTTCCAGGGAACAGTCAGGGTTGATTTCTTTTAGGATTGACCGATTTGATCTTCTTGCAGTCCAAGGGACTCTCAAGAGTCTTCTCCAGCACCATAGTTCAAAAGAATCTATTCTTCGGCGCTCGGCCTTCCTTATAGTCCAACTCTCGCAGCCATACATGACTACTGGGAATACCATTGCTTTGACCATGCGGACTTTTGTTGGCAGGGTGATGTCTCTACTTTTTATCATGCTGTTTAGGTTCGCCATCGCTTTCCTTCCAAGGAGCAGGCGTCTTTTAATTTCATGGCTGCAGTCACAGTCTGCAGTGATCTGGGATCCCAGGAACGTGAAGTCTGTCACTACTTCCACGACTTCCCCCTCTATTTGCCAAGGAGTGATGGGGCCTTATTAGCCTAGGGATGCTTTTAGGCACTGTGCTTGCCCAGGTGGCACGGTGCGTAGGTGAGGGCACTCACACAATGGGAGAGTGATCCATCTGCAGCAGCACACAGCCGGGCTGGTTGCACTGGAACTTACACCTCTACGGATAAGAACATGATCTGCAGGTGACTCTTGCAGAACCAAAGGAAGGGCTTGTATGCAGGTACATGAATGCATGAATGCATGAACCTGCCTTATACTGAACCAGACCTTTGGTCTATCAAGGTCAGTATTGTCTACTCCGACTGGCAGAGGCTCTCCAGAGTCTCAGGCAGAGGTATTTCACATCACCTACAGCCAGGTCTCTTAACGGGAGATGCTGGGGATTGAACCTGGGACCTTCTGCATGCCAAGCAGATGCTCTACCACTGAGCCACAGTCCCTCCCTAAGTGTCATTTGATGCTCCTCCTCCTTTCTCGGCCCTCAGATCTCCCGCCCACCCTTGTTTTAACAAGCTCAGGGAGGCATATGTGGAAAGGCCTTTATCCCCTTTTCTCCCTCACAGTAACCCGAAGAGGTAGGATAAGCCTGGGGAGACTGACAAACAGAAGTCCAGCCTTGTGAGTTTCATGGACCAAGCTGAGATTCCAAACCTCAGTGCAACGCTGGAACCCAGGGCCTCTAAGCTTTTTGAGTCTGTGGGCACCTTTGGAATTCTGGCAAAGGGTGGTGGGCGCAACCATAACATGGCTGCCATAGAAGGTGAAGCCAACTATGTGATGACAAGGAGCCACGGTTTTTCAGTGGCCAATCAGAAGTCCTGCCGAGCAAAAGCCCCACCCACTTTCTAAAAACACAGGCATTGGTGGACATCGTGGCGCCCTTGGGCACCACGTTGGGGACCCCTGTTCTAACCATGCCAAGGGCATTTTTATACATTGTGGGTCTCCTACAAAGAATAATTACTAATCATCATCATCATCATCATCATCATCATCATCTGGCATTGTTTGTATTATAGCCAGGTTATCCGAAGATTGTCTGGCAGCCTTCAGTTCTAGCTCTTTTTGTGGTGAGCTAGACTTATTTTTTGGGCTAAGAGAGCTCTGAGAGACCTGTGACTGACCCAAGGTCACCCAGTAGACTTCATGTGGGAGGAGTGCAGAATCGAACCCACTTGTCCAGATTAGAGTCCGCCGGTCTTAAACGACAAAGAAAGCACTTGAATCTTAACACACACGTCATCACCCGTGTTCCCTCTAAGCTGAGTTAGTGTGAGCTAGCTCACAGTTTTTTATCCTCTGGCTCACACATTTTTGTCTTAGCTCAGGAAGGAGGGCTCCAGAGCAAACTCATTTATGCAGCAGCCAAATCTCCTGCTCACAACGTTAATGCCAGTAGCTCACAAAGTAGAATTTTTGTTCACAGGGCTCCATAGCTTAGAGGGAACATTGGACCATCCCTTGCAACAATCTACAGCGAGCATTCCAATTCTCCTGAACAAATCCTGTTGGACTTTGGGAAGGTCAAGAGTGGCACTCACGTTCTTCCAGCCCGGAGTGCTCGTCCTGCTTCGATTCCAGCTGGGCGTGAGCTTTGGCCAAGGGGCAACTCCCAGGACTGTGGCCGGGCTCAGAGTTGGCATGAGGGCAGCATGTGCTGGGACTGTGCGGCTCCTGGCTGCCGGTGCTGATGTCCTCCTCGTCCCCCTGCTGCTTCAAGAGATGGTGCTCAACCATCATCTGGAGCTCTGGAAGGGGGGGGGAGAAAGACATGAATGTTAGGAATCCGGAAAGGGGGGGGGAATTGATTTCCTGTTCACAAGTTTCTATCCCTCAGTGAGTCACATTAGTACAGGCAGTGCCAGCTGATGACTACTGGGAAGCACAGATGGGGCTAGAATGCTTTAGTACAGAGAATCATAGAATCACAGAGCTGGAAGGGGCCCTACAGGCTATCTAGTCCAACAATGCAGGATCAGCCTAGAGCATCCCGGACCAGTGTTTGTCCAGCCGCTGCTTCAAGACTGCCAGTGAGGGGGAGCCCACCACCTCCCGAGGCAGCCGATTCCATAGAATCATACAAACCCTCCATGTTTGAGCGGTGACTCACGAAAGTTCCTCCCCTGCCACATATCGTGTTAGTCTTTAAGACACTCCTGGACTCTGGCTCTTTTCTGCTGCCACAAACAGACTAACACGGCTACCCATCTTGATCTATCTCCACCGAAGGCGACACATTTAGCCATACAGAATGGAAACCCATCAACCTTGTGAAGAAACTGGCACGGGTACAGAGATCATCTTTCTGGTATCGGAAGACGTGAGCGGTGACCATTGTTCCCTCTAAGCTGAGTTACTGTGAGCTAGGTCACAGCTTTTTAGCTTCTGGCTCACACATTTTTGTCCTAGCTCAGGAGGGAGGGCTCCAGAGCAAGCTACTGCATGCAGTAGTCAAATCACTCGCTCACAACTTTTACACCAGTCGCTCACAAAGTAGAATTTTTGCTCACAAGACTCCACAGCTTAGAGGGAACATTGGCGGTGCCTCACAGAAGCTCCTCCCCTGCCACATATTTTGTTAGTCTTTAAGGTGCTCCGGGACTCTTGCTCTTTTCTGCTGCTACGGTTATACTCTGTTACACCCGCTGACCTCACAGGGACACATGAAGAGGCCTTACGCGGAACCAGATCCCTTGTAAAGGTATACTTCTTTCTGTATGACTGGTCTAAGGACTGTAGAAATAAACTGATTGATTGGACCATCCCCAGAATTGTCAACTCTGGCTGGCAGTGGCTCTCTGGGGGCTTCTCACAGAGGTCTTTCACTCCACTCACGACCTCATTCTTTAAAGTGGAGATGCCGGGGATTGAACCTGGGACCTTCCGCATGCCAAGCAGATGTTCTGCCACTGGGCCACGGCCCTCAACAGATTTAGAAGGATGCATCTGCTTAGAATTACACTCCAGATGCCATTATTGGCCCTCTTGACCCCAAAGCCTGTTGCCCTCTCTGTCCTACTGTCCTTTGGTTGCCAACCTTCATGCTTGATTGACAGCAACGGCATCTGACTCTGCTGTCTGAACTATGGGATTTCCCCCTCGCCCTTGTCCCTGGGCTCAAACTCTGGAAACTGGGCTTTTGTTTGCCCTTGAACTCTGCCGTCCTCTGAAACTGATCCAGCAAGGCCTGTCCCAGCCTGACAGATATATTGCTGTCCCACCCTGTAATATATCTATAACACTTGGATGGGGGGGAGGTTGGCAAATGGAGAGAATATAAAAGCAACAGGAAAGAGGAAAAGCGGTTCAATGCAACATTTATGAGGCAAGAGACAGGGCAGGGAGAAACGAGGACGCATTTAGCGCGGAGAGAAGAATTCAGAAAGAAGGGGGGGGGGAATCAATTATGAAGCTATAAAAAGGACAGAAACAAAGAGCCGAGCCACGCGTTCAAATGAGTCACATGTGGGGGACTCATTAGACGTCAAACGGGGGATCCGAATGCTGTGTCTGAATGCTCTTCTGGGTGAAAGTCTCTCCCTGCATAACAAGGAGACAGTTCAGACTCGAGGAGATAACAAGGGGATAACAAGGATAAAGTTCAGACTAGAGTCTCTCTTCCTGATGAGCTAGTTGTCTGCATTCAGGGAGTTTTTATAAAGGGGAGCATTCAAACTTGTAACCCCCACTTGCAGACTAAAGTGGTACAGTCCTGCCCAAAACATACCACATGATCAGCAGTAAGAGCTGGAAATTCTAGTGCTCAGCCAAGATTGATGAGCTAGTTGTCTATATTCAGGGAGTTTTTCCAGACGGAAACATTCAAACTTGTAATCCGCAGCTACTGCCTGAAGTAGTACAGTCCTACCCAGGACATACTGCATGACCAGCAGTGAGAGTTGGAAGTTCAGGTGCTCAGCCAGGACTGATGAGCTAGTTGTCGACATTCGGGGAGATTTTACAGAAGGGAGCATTCAAATTTGTAATCCCCACCTACTGTCTGAAGTGGTACAGTCTTACTCAACACATACCACATAACCAGCAGTAAGAGCTGGAACTTCTGGTGCTTTGCCAGGACTGACCATCAGAAAGCAGGTTGGAAGTAACATCTGCCAGGGGCTTGTCAATGTATAACTGGGCATGCATACATCCAGTCACAGTGGCGGAATGTCTAGTCCTATAATTTAACGGTGCTCATTTAAAAATAAAGATCAAGCTCTCTTAACCACCGTATCATTAATCACAGGATGGTATTTCTGGCCTGCTGACAAGGAAAGCGCATAGCAGGTAGACAAACACACATCTTAGATTCAGCTGAGCTCCGTACGTACTTGCAGTGCTGTTAACAGGGAAACGTAGCCCACACTCTGATCTCTATCTCTCTGATCACGCCCGCTTGCTGAGTCTATCACTGAAGTCAAACTATTCTAGAAGACTTTCTTGGGGCTTCTGACCTCCACTTGGGATTTCTGAGAGCTAATCACTGAAGTCAAACTATTCTAGAAGACAGGCTGCTTTCTCGGGGCTTCAGACCTCCACTTGGGATTTCTGAGAGCCAAAGAGGAGTCGTGCTTGTATTGCCGATGTAAACACAAATACACAATCAACGAGGTGGACGTGAGATGGGCCGAGAATTGCCAGGTGACAAGACTCTAGATAAAAGCCTTGTTTCATGTCTTCATCAGACTCGCACTAACTTTCAGGCGTAACAAAATGCTCCTTCATGCAACAAAACTGGCGGCGGGAAGCAGCTGCATCCCGGCTGAAAGCCATGATCTGGAAACATTTAGGCGGGGTTTGTGCCTTCAAAGAAGCAGGTGGGTAACTGCAGCTTTCCCCACCTGCTGCCAGGTGCAGAAGGGAGCTGCTTCCCATAGCGTTCCCACCTTACATGATGAAGCATTCTTTATAGCTGAAAAGTTCCTAGCATGAGTCTGATAGAGACACGAAATGAGCATTTATCTGGAGTCTTGTTCTCTGGCCATTCCCAGCAGATACCCTGACCTGGATAGCCTAGGTTAGCCTGATCTCGTCAGATCTCAGAAACTAGTTGTAGAAGAAGAAGAAGAAGAAGAAGAAGAAGAAGAAGAAGAAGAAGAAGAAGAAGAAGAAGAAGAAGAAGA